CTCGGAGCCGCGGGGCGAGGGCGGTGGAGGGGGGCGCCGGGGCCTGGCGAGCGGCCCGCGGGCGGCAGGAAGCAGCTCGCTCCTCGCTGCCCGCTTCCGAGCGCTGCTTCCGGAGCCGCGGCTGCCCGCGGCCGGCTCCTTCCCTCGCGCCTGGCCCGGAGAGCCCCATCGCCACCAGGATCCGGGGCGCCCGGCGGCTCCCGCACAGCTCCGTGGCCCGCGAGAAGCCCTCAGAGCCTGGTCACCTCCATGGCCAAGAGAGGGTCCTACCCAGTAGGTGTCGGGCGGCCCAGGTTCCCCGCGGAGCAGCAGGGAGCTGGAGAGATACACGTTGCTCCTGCGGTAGCAGCCGCGCTCCCGGCAGCCCCACGCCAGCTTGTAGATCTCCAGGCAGGCCAGGCCGGCCACGGCCATGGTGGTGGTGGCGATGGCGGGCACGATGCGCCCCATGAGGCGCTTGCTCTGCGGGAGGCGCGGGCGTCAGGCCGCGCGGGGCCGCGGCGCCCGCCGGGCGCTGCCCGCTCCTCACCGCGAGCCGGTCGGCGCCGGGGATGCCGTAGTTGCCCGCGCGCAGGTTGGATGCGGCTGTGACGAAGTCGACGTGCAAGTCGTCGTCCTAGGGTGGGCAGCACGGGGACCTCTGGCACCAGACAGCACCGAGGCCCGGGGCTGCTCATGAGCATCAGACTCCCCGTCGGGAGAAAAGGACTCGGAAACGGACCCTGCCTTCCCGCTCTCCTGGCTCGGGAATGACTGGCAGGGCTACAGGACAAGGCCTGTGCTCTGCAGAGCAGCCTCAGCGCTGGGCACAGTGCCCAGCACCGGGCACGAGCATGGCCTGCCCAGGTACCTTCTCGAAGAGGATGGGCTCCATGAGGGGTATTTGTGTGTCCCGAGCCTCCACCAGCTCCTGGCGCCACCGGGCCAGCTCCTGGGTGAGCTCTGCCAGCTGCCCGTGGTCTGGGGGCACAAAGGAGCCCCGGGGTGTTTCCTTTGCACCAACATGGGCCCGGTTGCCCTGGCAGCTTGTGGGCAACACCAGAGCCCCACTAGAACCAGGCTGCACCCCGGGCTTCCTGGCCCAGCGTTTTACCTCAGGGCACCCCAGAAACAAGCCCTAACGGGCGCCTTACCCACAGCCTCCTGGACCTCCTCCCCTTCCTCCGTGATGCTGATGTGAAGCCCCTCGTGGGGTGTGAAGGGTGGCAGGACCACGTTGCGCAGGATCTCCCGAGCAGCTGCCCTGTCCCCGGGAGCCAAAACCTTGTGTGTCTGAGCAAAGAGGCGGGCAGCAGCCATGATATAAGTCATGTGGGTGTCCTGGGGGCACAGAGAGGACCGGGGCAGTGAGGACCACAGGCCGCCTTTCCGGTGCAGCCTACGAGCCCACTCCTGTGCTGCCACAACCAGGCAGGGCAGCCCAGATTTGCCCTGAGGGGGAGAAAGGTCTCTCCTCCTGGCCACGGGGCACGTATGGGACCTCCTCGGCAGTGCCCTGGCAGCCCAAGGCAACAAGGAGGTCTTCCAAACCCACCCGGGTGCCCCCCTGTGCCACATGCTCTAGGTGTCCCCGCTGGAGCAGGGAGGTGGGACTAGATGATCTCTAGAGGTCCCTTCCAACCTTGAATATTCCGCCTGCCTCTTCCCTGCACTTACGTCGTCAGGGTTAAACGTCAGCTCGTGGGGACACCTCCTGTTCCCCGACCAGAAGGCGACGCCCGGGCTGCTTTCCTGGGCACAGGGAAAGCAGAGTCAGGCTTGAGGCTGCCAGGGGAGGCTGGCAGAGGAGAGAGGGGGCGGGAGGGCCCCGTGCTCGGTGCCAGGCTCACGTGGTCCGGGGGGAAGGCGAGCAGCAGCCGGGAGATGCCGTCGTGGTAGCAGCTCTGCCAGCGCCGGCGCGCCCAGCGCACGCAGTCCGCCCAGTGCCGCGGCCGCTCGCGCAAGCTCCCTCGCACTCGCTCCAGCACCTCCAGAGCCTCTGGTGCCTCCAGGCGCTCCACGAAGGTCGGGTCTCTGCGAACCCGGGTGCTCCTGGGGCCAGGCCTCGTGCTGCCCCCCACAGAGCCTCTCGCCAGCACGCAGAGGTGACTGCCAAAGAGCCCTCGCTAGCAGGGACCAACGTTATCCCCTCCCAGGTGATGGGCCAGGCTTGGCTAGTGTCCCTGGATTATCTGGCAGGGTACCCTGAGCGGGACGCAACCCTCTGACCCCAGCCCCATGCCCAGCAGCAGCGGGCAGTGCTCTAGCAGCACCCATGGCCCTGGCTCTGCCCCCTGCCCGGGCACCTCAGCACCCAGCACCCACACTCACGCCAGGAACTGGTTGACGTTCTCCGCAGAGAGCCTGAAGAGCCCCTCAAACTCATCGCGCGCCCACTGCGGAGGGGGAGGCGGCCGTCAAACACGCGGCGCCCAGCGCTCACCCCAGCGCCCCCCGGCACGCGGGCTGCGGAGCCGGCACTGGCACTTTCGGGGGGACATCCCGGGGGGCACTGTGGCCCTATGAGCCCCGTGGTGCAGCACACAAGACCCTTGCAACGCCCGCGACAGGAGCACCCAGGGGCGCTGCCTGGTACCCCCGGTCGGGGACACGGGGCCCGCGCCAGGGCGGGAGAGGCCGTGTCCCGGTGCACGCGGGAAGCTCCCGGCGGGAGCGCACGGCGCGCTCGGGCCTCCAGCCAGGAAGCAGCTGGGGCCCGTATCCTGCCGGCAGCTCCCCGCAGCCCCGCGCGGGGCTGGCGCTGCCGGCGGGAGCGGCTTCCTGCGGGAAAACAAAGGCCGGAGCCTCCTCCGCGAGCAGCGGAGGCCGCAGCCGCCGCGCGGGCCGGGCCAATGCTCCCGGCCTATGCAGCCCTACCTGCAGCGTGTGCTCGATGGCCCAGGGGAAGTGTCGCAGCGTGCACAGGGGGAAGGTCTGCTCCACAGGGTCACTGGCAGGCCCCGGCAGCCTGGTCAGGTGGGGCACCATGGGGAGCACGTTGCCCCGCGTGCCCTCCGTGCCCGAATCCACCAGCGGCCTGAGGGAGCGGCGGCAGCAGCTCTCCAGGTAGGAACCTGTGGGGAGCAGGCAGTGCCCAGGGGCCAGAAGGACTTTTTTTCGCCTGGAAAGGGTGATGCCAACCCAGACGGATGGCACCAGGTCCCCTTCTCTCCCCACAGTTACGTGCGCTCAAACCCAGGCACCTGCCCGCTCAAACCCAGGCAAAACGTGTCCTGCTGGTGGCACTCACGGGTCTCCAGGTTGTCCACGGCACTGGCGACACCGTCCAGCTGCTTGAAGAAGTCCTCCCCGTAGATGAGCTCCGTGGCAGGGCCCACCTGGTTCTGGTGTGCCGTCACCTTGGTGTCGGGGTTCATGAGCCGCACCGCGGCAGCTGCCACCTCTGCCTTCGGCTTCTGCGAGGGCACAGAGGGTAGGGGCTGTTGCCCTCCCAGTGCCCCCAGCCCCAGCGTCCAGGGAGAGCCTGGTGCCCTTTGGTGGACCCCAAAGCCCCTGGGTCCTCCTGAGGACGGGGCCGGCGGCCCTGCCGGGCGGCGCTCACCGATATATCCGCCGAGCGGAAGAGGAACTGCCGATGGAGGTTGGAGCGGGCAACCGTGTCCGTGTCGGTCACCGTGATGTCCCCGCCGGCCCCCGCGGCCAGCCCCATCATGGCGAAGTTTTTCAGCAGCTCGCAGCCAATGGCACCGGCTCCCACCTGCCAGGACAGCGCTCGCAGCGTCTCCCGCCGGATCATCCAAGCCCTGTGCAGCCTCCGGAGGCCTCTTCCCAAATCCCCTGCTCACCACGAAGTATTTCTGGCGGCCCAGCCTCTCCTGGAAGTCAGCCCCGAACACGGCGATCTGGCCGTCGTAGCGAGAGCCCCTCTGTGGGGCAGAGGGGCTGCGGTGAGCGCGGGCGGCCGCGGCAGCCCCCCGGCGCAGCCGGCCGCCCTCACCGGGGCACAGTCGTCCTCCGTGAGCCGCGCGGCGCCCTCCACGGCCAGGCACTCCAGGGCGTCGAAGTAGAGCCACTGGTCCAAGGGCACGAATTTCCCCGAGGCGGCCTGGGCAAAACCGGGGTGCCACCGGCTCCACGGGGGCCTCGCGGGGCCGCGCGGACAGCAAGTGGCCTCCCGTGGTCACCGACGGAGGCCTGGCCTCAAGGAGCCGAGCGACACGGGCACCCGCAGCAGGTCCCACCCCGCTCACCTTCAGTGCCTCCTGGGCTGCCAGGCCGCCGAGGAAGGCCGCCATGGGACACAGGTCCCCCGCGCTCACGCTGGCGAAGGCTCGCACCACGTCCTCGGCCAGGGGCTCCTGCCCCTCGTCCAGCCTCCAGGCCAGCTCCAGCACCCGCTCGGCGTCCTCCTGGCGCCAAGAGGGGCCCCCACGGGCGGCATGGATGAGCCCGCAGGGATGAGCCCCCGGAGAAAGCGGGGCCGAGGGCGGGGCGGAGGGAGGCTGGGGCCTCACCGGCGCCCGGGGCCGCGGCAGGCGCCTGTGCTCCCGGCGGAAGGCGTGCAGGGCCTGGAAAGCCACGTGCAGGCTGCGGCTGCGGGGCAGCTCTTGGGCATCCGCTTGGATCTTCGGCTGCGCCAGCGCTTCGCGCAGGGGCTTCTGCGGGCAGCGTGCCGAGTGCTCGAGGAGGAGACGCCTCTCGGGAAGCCCCAGGTTGCCCAGCGCCCTGGGCACGGTCTCGCGTCCCCCTGGCAGTGCCTGGCCATGGGCAAGTCAAGGGCAGACTTACATACGAATACTCGCGGGGCAGGTGGACCTGCTTGACTTGGCCCCCGCGGAGGTAGGGCGCGAAGGAGCTCGTGTCGCCAATCTCCAGGTGAAAGGCATCTGCGAAGGGAGCGGGGAAGGGAGAAGAGCAGTTCCAGGCAAATGGAGGGAGACCCCAATTCAGCATTTTTCCAGGCCATTGATCCGCAGCTGGGACTCCCTTCCAGCATCCAGGCTTGTCCCACCGAGCACCGGTGAAGGGAAGCTCCGTGGCCTGGAGCTATGGGGACCGCCACGCTGCCCGGCGCCCATTTGGCAGCTCACCCAGCACGCGAACGGGGCAGGGCTGCCCGCCGTTGAGCTCCGTCATGCCCTCCACGCCCGAGAACGTCACCGTGTCGCCGTCGCAGAAAAGGTGGCCGCAGCCCTCTTCTGCCACGCACGTCACCACTCCTGGGTTGCCCTGGGGAGAAGCAGCAGTGTGAGCCCAGGAGCCCCTGGTCTTGATGGCTTGGATCAGCTGAAGGATGTGCCAGCGTTTTGGGAGAGAGCGGTGAAGCCAGAGGGACCTCAGGGAATGGACACGCGGCACAGCAGGCTGTTGGGATGCGTCGCGGATTGGGTGTGAGACGTGGGGTTTGGAGGTTCTCCTCCTACCTGGGAGATGTGCTGCACGGAGGCACAAACCGGTTCAGTGTCCGCTGGGTCGTGAACCACGAAGTGGTCCCCAAAATCACAAAATAGCTGCCTGAGAGAGGAGCAACCGCGGGTCTGTTAAATAGGAACCTCATGGAAGACCACCACCAGGTCCTGCCCCAGGGCAGCAGGACAGGCAGCGGGGTCACGGGCTAGAGAACTTTGCAAACCAGAGCAGGGACTAGGGGGGACAACAAGGAGACCAGAGGGCAGCAGTGTGTCCCTGCTGCAAAGATGCCAGCGGTAACCCGGGCTGCACAAGCAAGGGCAGGGGCAGCCAGTGGGCATCCTGCCCCTCTCTTCGACACACGTGAGATCCCAGCTGGAGCACCTAGTAGGAGGACGTGGAGAGGACAAGCCAGGGTCTTCTCCAAGCTGCAGAGATGGGACAAGAGGTGACATCCCATCTGGGACACAGGAACTATCTATTAGATAAATGGATAAAATTCTTCACCTTGAGGGTAGCAGAACACCAGAAGAGGGTCTTGGAGAGATTGTGGATCTGCCGTTCTTGGAGACATTCAATGCTTGACTGGACACAGCCCAGAGCAACCTGCCCTGGGGCAGCGTTGCCCAGACCAGAGGCCCCCCAAATGGTTCCTGCCTCGACAGGGTTTAGGGTGCAAGGTTTCCCCCAGGCTGCCACCCTAGTTGGTCCCAAATGGCACCGCTGCCGCCAAGGCCGAGTCCTGGCCAGCGCCAGGGACACCAGGCACCGGGCACTCACCCTGCCAGCCCCTTCACATCGGCCACGATGAAGCAGATGCCCCGGGCATGGCACAAGTCGCCGATGCGGAGCTGTTCCTCCAGCGGGGAGTCAGTGAGGACCACGACCTGTCCATGCAAGGGCATCAGGTGACATTGCCACCACAGCTCGGGGTTGGCGTGGGCACCAAGACATTGGAGGCCCCAGCAGCAGCCTCGGGGTGAGGTTGCCCCTCCGAAGGCCACCAAGCCCACGGGACCCCAGCAAGGCAGGGAACCCCTTCCCATGCGAGCACCCATGGAGGCCCACCTGGAAGGAGGCCAGGAAGCTCTCGGACAGCTCCCCGCTGTGTGCTGTCACCTGCACGTGGGGGTTGAGCTCGGCGAGGCGCCGCTGGGAGGCCACGGCCCGGTTCCGACCCACGTCGCGCTCCGTGAGGAAGAACTGCGGGATAGACACCCGGTGAGCGCCCCACAACAGGGTGGACCGAGCTCTTGTGCTGGCCACTGTCCCCCTGAGGACACCCAGTGGACTCTACCTGATACGACAGGGCGCTGGACAGCGACAGGGAGGCTGGGGCTCCCCAGCCTCCGCACTCAGGGTGCCGGGGCTCCCTGGGCCACCGCGTGGTGCTGGGGCACCTGGAGCGGTGCCCGGCAGGACGGGGAGCCCTGCAGATGCCACTCGGGTGAGGGGGCTCCCTGAGTCCTACCTGAGATGGCGAGGCCCGTCTTGGCCTCTACCCATGGCGGCGGGCAGCGCTGCACCCGGGAACCCGGGGCACCAAAGGCCATCGTCGTGAGGATGGGTGCTCACCCTGGGGTCTCCACTAGGGATCCCCAGGCACACTCATGATGGGGGATGAGCACCCCAGGGGCTGTAGTGTGACGGAGGGGCACCCCAAGGGCCATAGCTGTGACTGAGGTGCTCCCCGGGACATATCTATGATGGGGGGCACCCCAAGGGCCATAACTGTGACTGAGGTGCCCCCCAGGTCATACCTATGATGGGGGGCACCCCAAGGGCCATAACTGTAACTGAGATGCCCCCCAGGTCATACCTATGATGGGGGGCACCCCAAGGGCCATAACTGTGACCGAGGTGTCCCCTGGGCCATACCTATGATGGGGGGGGCGCCCCGAGGGCCATAACTGTAACTGAGGTGCCCCCTGGGACATGCCTATGATGGGGGGCACCCCAAGGGCCATAACTGTGACTGAGGTGCCCCCTGGGCGATACCAACAATGGGGGGTACCCCAGCCCATGCCCATGCCAGCGGAGCACCCCAAGGACCGTGCCTGTGACGACCAGGCCGTAGCCACGACGGAGGGGCACCCAAGGACCATAACCACGACACCCTGAGGGCCACCCCGCTGACAGCGGGGTGCTCCCCAGGCTGTCCCCAAGCCAGCGGGGCACCCCGGGGACACAGAGGTACCTGCGAGGCGCGGTCGGCGGGGCGGGCGGCCTCGTCGTCGTGCAGGGCGACGGCGCGCATGCCCGCCAGCACCAGCGCCTTGGCCACCTCGGCGCCCAGGCCGCGCAGCCCCGCCACGAGCACCGCGGCGCCCGCCAGCCGCTCCATGGCGCCGCGGCCCAGCACGTAGCTGCGGGGAGGGCGGCGGGCGTCAGCCGGGGCGCCAAGGCGGGGGGTCCAGCCGCCGCCCCCCCGGCACCCACAGCTGCCGCGAGTAGAGCCCCTCGTCAGCGGCGCCCGCCATGGCGGCCCCCGTGGTCCCGCCCTCGCTCCGCCCGGAGGTGCCGGAGATGGCGGCGGCGGCGGGCTGGGAGGCGCCGTGGCGGGCGCTGGGCGCGCTGGGCCGGGAGCTGGCGGCCGAGTGGGCGGCGCAGGACCTGCGGGCCGCGCTCTGCCAGCTGCTGCTGCTCTGGCTGGGGCTCAGCCTGCTGGGCATCCGCCTGGCGTGGCGGGCCTACGGCGGCGCCGTGGCGGCCCTCTGCTACCGCGCAGGTACGGGCGGCCGCGGGCGCC